CATGTATATCTTGTGTGTGATTTTTTATTTTTATTTTTATTCTTCGTGATTACTTGTTTATTCCTTGAACAGTGTTGTTTATTTTGCGTTTCCACCACAACAACTGGTATCAAATCCAGTTGATTGTGTAGTGCAACTCTAACAGCAGAATCATTCGTAGGTTTTGTTCTACCCTACGAGAATAATGTTTTTCCTCTTCTCTCCCTTTTCTTCTCTTTTTATTTACTCACAAACCCCATAACACAATCTCACAAATTTAAACTTAATCATGATTCATTTTTATTGTGTAAAGAGTTAGAAGATGATAGAGATCCGAAATTTATTTAGGTTCAATGGTGATTTCTCCAGGTAGATGGTAACTCTGCGTATGTGTATATATAAAATGCAGATTTTATATATATCGGTATCTCGGTCATCTTGTTCCCTAATTTATTTATTTATTTTTTTGCGTGTGGCAAAGAAAAAAAAATTTGATGGGAGAAACGAGCTCACAAGCCAAACTTGAGTTTACCCAAACAAAGTTGAGCCAAGTTCGATTGTAGTTAAGCTAGGCTCGATTGAGCTACAGTAAAGCTCAAACAACTATGTAGATACGCCAAGTTGAGTATGAACACCTCCAAACTCATCCTGGCTTTAACTCATTCACGGCCCTATGTAAAATATTACATTACTAATTGAAGGAGTGCTAAGGGCAGTCCTATTTGTTGCATATGATATATATATCAATCAAAGGCTAATTTATTGAATTGAAAGGACGTTCGAATCCACATGCAACAATTAGATGGGCAACAATAAATAACTACTAGTACCCCTTAGGGATGGTCTAATATCAATTTCTTTTTAAACACTTTTACATTTAATTTGACTAAATATACATGTTCATGTCCAATAGACAATATTAAAACAATTTATGTACCTTTAACCCCAATCATTCACAAATGTTTAGCTGTTAACACTTTGAAATATACATAACATGATTAATTTTTCTGTCTAATGGTAAAATTTCAGTGTAGTGTACTTCTGAGGATAATTTAAGCACATGTCACGCATCGAAGACAAAACAAGTATGAGAGTCCCTCTCACATTCAAGAACTATTAGAGAAAACAAAACAGTCTAAACCATGGTGACAAAATACCAAGGAAACAGCAAATTACCACTGATAGTGTTACTAAAATCACTGGAAACACAAGTAAATTCTGGCTGACATTCAAGAACTACTAGAGAAAACAAAATAGTCTAAACCATGGTGACAAAATACCAAGGAAACATCAATTACCACTGATAGTGTTACTAAAATCACTGGAAACACAACTAAATTCTGGCTCACATTCAAGAACTATTAGAGAAAACAAAACAGTCTAAACCATGGTGATAAAATACCAAGGAAACATCAATTCCCACTGATAGTTACTAAAATCACTGGAAACACAACTAAATTCTGGTTCACATTCAAAAACTATTAGAGAAAACCATGGTGACAAAGTACCAAGGAAACATCAATTACCACGGATTGTGTTACTAAAATCACTATAAACACTACTAAATTCTGGCTAAGTCATGTTATATCACTGTACCTGAGCATATTAAGATTAGAAGCTACATCATCGGATAATCAACCACCTCGATCGAAACCTTGAGTAAGGCTGAGAGAAAGCCAGGAAATATGTGTCCCAACTCCATGGCTACATCTTCTTCAAGATATATCTAATTGAGAAAAAATAGAATGCTCATTAAACAAGTAAAGTTTAAAAGTAGGTCAGGAAAAAAAAATTAAAGCAAACAGAAACAACACAAAAGCAAGATGGCATACCAGTTCATTAAATTTCTTTGCATGGTCACAGCCATGATGGGTTGTATTATCAACAAAACACATACAAGATTTGTATTGGTTTATACTTCCAGCCTCATTTTCTTGATACTGTAGAACCTCATAAGGAACACAAACTCGTCGCTTTTTATGCTTCATGCGAACCTTATATATCCAATTTGCCTTTCCCCATGGATTGATCAACTCTTGATTGATTTTTTGGTCAGTGTTAAAAGTGTAATCCTTGTGATGATATCCCAAATGATGGCAGAGAGCCACAAAGTATTGAAATCTCTCTTTCTCATTCAATAACAAAGGGTGTTTCAATAGATGGGATGCTCTGTAAAATTAACATGACCAATTACTACTGACTTGAAGCAATAAATGAATCTAAGACAGAAAAAACTAGTATATACTAAGAGAAATAAATGAAAAACTTGGAGCAATAAAAGAATATAAGGACAATAATTGAATAGATTAAAAGAAATGTTGATATAAAATTCAAAGAACATACTTAGAGGTCTTATAATCGTAAAATGGATTCCAATCGTGAGGCCTATACTGATGATTGTTTAGGCCAATACAACGTAATATGAACTTTTTGAAATTTTCCAGGTCTTCCGTTTTGTTATGTGCATAGATGTTAAAGGCTCAAGGCGTACAAAAGCGCAAAGGCCAGGTGCGCCCAACTGAAGCAAGGTGCACATTGAAAGAACGAAAAAAAAAAAAACCACCCAATAAAGATGCAATAGTATATATAAAGATGCAAAAGTCGACTAAATCAATTACTTAAGTTCAATATTCAACATAAAGATGTCGAAGCCAACTAAATCAAGTACTTGAGTTCAACAAATAATCAAACATATTAATATAAAGATGCAAAAGTCAAGTAAGGAGAATTATGAGATAAAACTAAAACAAACATAGAAATCATTTAGGAAATTCCATGTTTAAATAGTTGCCAAATTCAAGTAACTTTTATTGTTTTGAAATGGTTCAAGGATATGTCAGGTTGCAAATTTAAATCAGAGAAGTTTATATATTAGAAAGCATTTTGTATCTCGAAAACAAAAACAAAAAAAGAAAAAAGAATACTGATAGCTAATTCTTATATTTTGGTAATTAAACTTTAATGAAGAATCAAACTGTACAAACAAAGGTACACTAGAAGAAAACCCAGAGCCCAAAAGCTGTAATAACAGCAACAAAAAGGGAACTGGGTGCCTAAAGCATAGGGAAAATGGTTTAAAAGCCCAACACTTCAATCGGAGTGTTAGACCGAAGTGTTTTAGTTGCTCCTCTTATTACAAAGATTGATAGTCTTATTGATATTAGTATTATACACGGATTCAAACATAAATAACACTAAACGAACATCATCAGAGGCCTAAATAAGAGCCTCAAGACAAAACAAACAAGCAAACTAATAAACAAATCTGTAAGTTGGATTTTGAAAAAATAAATTTTAAATGCCAAACTCACATAAGTTCTGCCGAAGAAGAAGAAGAAGAACAGAGAAGAAGAAGGAGAAGGAGAAGGAGAGAGAAATGAAGAGAGAGAAATGAAGAGAATTCTACCGAGAGAAGAGAGAAGAAGAAGAAGAAAAGAAGAAGAAGAAGATGAGAGAAAAGAAGAAGAAGAAGATGAGAGAAAAGAAGAACTTACCGTGAGAGAAGTCGGCATATTCGAGAGATCCGGCAGATCCTCTTTGCTTCGCAAGCCCTAGCCCTATGTCTCTTTTCTTTTGCTTCAAACCACTTTTGACATTCCTTTTGCGTTTTCTTTTCTTTTATTCTTTTTTGTTTTGTAAAGTTCTCTAAAAAGTAATAATAAACAAATTCCAAACAAAAAGTAATAATAAATAATAAATAAAAGGCTAGGTTCAATCAGGTGCACCTTTGTGCCATCTGTAGCCTTGCGCCTCTGTCACAAAGGTGCACGCCTATGCAAAGGCAGTCGCTTTAGTCCCTTACAGGAGACAAGCTGGCGCCTGTAGGAGCCTTTGACATCCAGTTTTCAGGCCCTCCAAAGCTCCTCTGTGACAACCAAGTGCTATAGCTATCGGTAAGAACCATACTCTTCATTGTAGAAGCAAGCATATTGATATCATGTACCACTTTCTCAGAGACAAGGTTCAAAAAGGCCTCATTGATATCATTTATTTGCCTACTAAACACAAAATTGCAGATATTATGACCACACCTCTTCTTCCTTAAAGATTTTCAGCCCTTAGAGATCTTCTCTGGGTTGTTCCTTACCCTTTTTGAGCTTACATTGTTGGTCATTCTTACCTTCTGATTTCAATGTCAAAAAGGGGGAGAAAATGACTGAAATAAGGATAGCTTTTATCCTTTAGTTATTTGTTTCATTCTTCTGGTATCTATCTTGTTGATTTGGCATCAGTTCTTTATCTTTATTGCTGCTGTGAGGTTTTGACATTCAAAGGCAAAAGGGGGAGATTGTTGGTCTCATTGTTCACAGTTGTTTGCACTTTTAATGTCAAATGTATGCTTCCAGGGCCGCTACTGAGATATTTCACCAATTCTGGTGTGCTCAGGTCAAATCTGATACATACAGGGGTAGTATAGTCATTTTACAATCATGAGAGCTCATTTTAAATAAGTTGAGGAAGGTACATTGTGCTGTGGAGTCACTTTACAGGCCAAATCTACTTAAATTTTTGGGCAGCATGTGACATTTGGTTACAGAGTCCTTTAGGAGCATTTAAGTCTTCTCACACATGAATTTGATGTTTTTACACTTGCTTCGGATACTACATTGCAGTTTACTGCTCAGAAATCCAATGCATTTGTATTTACACAGCTGCAACAACAGTTTTCTGTATTATGTGACATGTGCCCACTTCAGGGGTATTTCAGGCATTGTGTGCGATGAATACTTGCTTCACATGTGTCCAGTGGTCCTAGTGTGAGAGAGTGTTTACAGTTAAGCAATTCTTAGGCTCCAAGTCTGGATAAGGGTGATGAATGTGCAGTACAAGTGAACTGTTGAATTGCGGGTACACTAGAGGACAAAACAGCTGAGTTGGCAAGGGCTTTGTGATCCTTTCACTGAGGGAATGTCAGAATATTCTCCTCTCCAATGATTGGTTGATTGCATTTCCTTCTTAGGGTAGGATTTGAGCTCAAGGTATATATATAGGCTGTTATAGCGGTGGCCTAAACAAGCTGCATTGTATCACACATGCATGCATTCATACCCCTGGCCACTGGCTCATTGGTACGACCTTATTAACTTTATGAAATGAAAATTTTAACTAAATCACACATGCATGCATTCATATATATATATATATAGACACACATTTCTCTTTACTGCTTCCACCATTACTCACCCTATAACCGCCTCTCTCTCTCCACAACTTTCTCACCAAACTACCACCACCATCCTCTCTCATGAGGCCTCTAGTCTTAGCATACAAAGATCGGTGATTTGGGGTAATGGGAACTTTTGAAGAGGAGAGATTGCTCTTGTAAAAGGGTCTTTTATAGGTTCCTACCTTTTCCCCTCCCCCCTACTCTCTCTCTCTCGGACATCTTGTCTGTTTGGAGTCAAATGAAGATACCGATTTTTGCTACGGACTTTGAAATAGGGACTGGAATATGAAGTTCTAATTCAAATCTTAGTGTACAATTTTATTTATGTAAACACTAATAGGCATGGTATTGGGGGCTTATTCGTATACCTCATTTTTACAAATAAAAATTCGAAGTGTACATTGTTTTTTAGTTTCAGCAATTTGAAATCCGAAACAAATTCAGCTCCGTGCAAACATGCTCATGCTCATATATACTATCAAACCTTGATTTTGAATCTTCACACCATTTAGTAGGTTTGCTACATGAGGTTGGGGTGATTTATTTACTTGGGGCGACAAAATGGTAGCACTTGCTATTATGCTTTCCTTTCCTTTTATATGTAAAATTGAGTTTTGGAAATTGTGAAATCAGACTGTTTTGACTGACTTTGTTGTGAATCAATATTTCTTCTTCTTTTCTTTTTTCGTTTCTTTTTATTTATTTATTTATTTTTTTAGCACATTTGGTGGCTGTATTCTTTTCCTTTGGGTGCATATGTTGAAATAACAATGTCAGATACAATAGTTTTGATTTGTTTTAAAGTATAAGTTAGTCTATTTTATTTCAGTGATTAACTAGGACTTTCCTACATTTGAATTGAAAATGCATCCCAGGATTTTTTTAAAACTAACATAAATATTGATCTTTGATTGAAGAACCAATTATTTAGGGTTCTATGTAATAGGGGATTTTTTCTCCTCTGTTCTGTTTAGAGTCTCTCTTTCACACTTTTTCCTCTCTATATCAACCTTAAGGTCCTCTAGCTTTCCAGCTGGAATTTAAAATCACATGGCTCCTTATTATTAGTTCAAACTTCTATGATCACCATGTGTGAAACCATCTGAGTTGACTTTTATCGAAATGGTAATCCACTGGTAATAATACTTACAAGCTATTACATTTGCCATTCTTTACTAGTTTTATCATTTCATCACACCATTCTTTGTTGAGCCCTGGACCCTTTATTATTTATTTATATTTATTGTTATGTGTGATGTTAGTATTCTATTGTAGCCCAATATATAGTGTTTGGAGTGGAATAATAGAGAGATACTGAAAATCGTAGAAAAGAGGGTGAGAGTGAGAGCGAGAGCGAGAGTTTGGGTTTGGGGACTGAAACTTGTACTCTCCAGATTTTCGCCTAGCGAGTTCTTTTGCCGGATCTACGCCATGTAGGTTTTGCGGAACCACACTAAATCTTTGTGGTATTTGTTTTGTGTGGCGTGTTTGTTTTCGGTTCTTTCTTGGGTTTGCTGTATTTGTCCCAACAGTTTGTTTTGTCTTTACTCAAAATAGTAACAGCTCTTTCCTCCAACCAGATCGAGTCGTACATCGTTGGCATCTACTTTTGAAGGAGCAAAAGTAAATAAAATAAGAAATTTGATAAAATTAGTTATATCTATGTATATATTGAGATAAGATTAGGGTTATTTTAGAGTTTTCTTATTTTAAGATTTTATCTGGTAGTTGCGTTTGGTTAGGATTTTATTTCATTGTCAATATATATATGTGTAGACTTTGGTACTTTTGATTTGGACACTATATGATGGTTGTTGATTACTGAGAATGTTGTTTTAGTGATTTTGTTTCTATATTCTCCCTCTCTCCTATCTTTCCTCTCTTGTTGGTATCACAGCTTTCCCCTACAGCAAGTGGTGTCAACAATATAATGAAGTATGCTTTTAGATGAAGATTAATACTGGCTTATTGGATTCAACCTCTCTACGCAGCTAGTTGGCAGTGTCTCTATATTTGTGGATCATTCGATTCATGGGTCATGATTTAGGAAATCCTCCTGTTTTTTTCTTTTCTATTTTTTCTTTCGTTTTTGATAATATCAGTAAGAGAATGACTCCCACCCTCCAAAATTTTAGTCTCTTGCTCATTTTATGTTCACTTTGCTCTTTCAGGGTCCAAGAAAGACGATACTTTTGGCATTGGAGACTGAAACAGCTCTCTTTCATTATCAAATACCAAAATTGCCCCAAAAAACAATGAGGTATGTTTGAACACTCATTTTGACCTTGACAACCGCTTTTGCTGCTTTTTTTTTTTTTTTTTGTTCTGGAATGTGAAAACGTGTTTAGTACCTTTTGTTGTTGTTAGAATAATATCGTCTTTGTTTCCAAAATTTCCAAAAAAGAGGCGAAAATCTGGAAACACCAAATTGGGTTGGTATTTTCTTTCCATAAAAATACTGTAGCGAAAAACAAAACTCAAAAAAAAAAAAAAAAAAAAAAAAAAAAAAACATGTTTCCAGTACTATTGAACACACTCCACAACAAAGATGTTATTTATGTTTCGGATTGAAATAGAAGCACAAAACATTTTCGGATGCCAAGCAGACCCTTTGTGAGTTAAAATTATTTATATAATGTAATTGGAATGATGAAAAAGCCCTCCAATGCCATTCCTTCCTTGAGGCTTTTTTAAGTTTATTTAAAGTACTCGGGTTGTAAGTTGGATTTAAGTCTATTGGTGAAATACTTTCTATATGACGAAATTATGCGAGTTAAAATATAACCTTATTAGTATAACCAAATGACCGTTTCATTCAATTTTATTATGAAATACTTTGAAGTTTTTCAATTGTGTGCGTATAGTTCTTCCAATGGCTCAAGCTCAAATTGACGTAATTGGATTTCTTTAGTGTGTCTTCGTACTGTTTGTATGACTGACATGGAAACAAAGATGAGAGAGTGTAATCGAAGAAAGAGGGTGTCCTTTTTGGACATTATGCTTTTTGATTGATTTTTTTTTTTTTTTTAAATTTATTTTATTTTTTAATAATGATATTTTAGGCATTTCAATTGAAATAATACTTGACCATTTATCATTTATTGACTTTATTCTCACTTAAAAGCAATTTCCGCCCCTACCACAACCCACACCAACACCGGAAATGAGAAACTTCTAAACCTGGCGACTTTTGGGACAAACTCACAAACTACTCATATCGTTTTTAAATTTAGGTGTTTTTACGTCTTTGAAAATCAAACTTAGGACGCCTGAATTTTATAACTATAACCATTTTGATATTGTTATATCATGTCGACAACATTATATCATGCAAATATTGTCATTTATATTGGTATGTAGGTGGATTGATTTTTGTCTTGGAGGGTTGAAGTTTTGGTGAAAATTCCTGCATCACATCTAGAAGCAGACGTTTTGGCATGATGGATTGTTGGTTGGATTTTTTTGTATTTGAGTTTTCCACCTTGTTGAAAACTGGGTATATACGGTGAAACTAATTAAATGAAAGGTTTATAGCTAGATTGAGACAATGAAACAACCTTGAATTTAAGTTTTCATACTTACTAGCTTTTGAAAGTGGGAATGAATTTGGATAATGTTTTAAATTCCTTGCATGTCTTCGGGGATTTGAAGTGTTTAATTCAGATTGATATATGATATATAATGTTATGACATATACCATCCTATAATATATAATGTTATAGTGCATTATGTTTCTCTTTCATTCCCCATGAGTTAATGATCACAGGTTTGCCCTCATCATACTTATTTTACAGTCCAATTAGTTAATGATCACAGGTTCGCCCTCATCATCCTTATTTTACATTCCAATTAGTTAGCGATCACAGGTTTGCCCTCATCATGCTTTTCTTTCATTCCCATGATCGCATGTTTGCTCATGTCGAATAAATTCACGGGTGCTTGGGTGCATCTCTTGTATGAGTTGCACATGCTAAGGTGTGGGGGATTGGTAATGGAAATGGTAGAAGGATAGGAAAGGAGAGGGAATATCAATGGAAGTGGTTAAAGAGGATTCTAGCTTACCTGTGCGTGAGAACTAAAGGAAAAGATAAAAAAGAAGAAGATGATTGGTACTTTAATATAATAAATTTTTACTTATTTGAAAATGAATCTCAGAAGTAGGACTTCTTTATCCTAATGAATAGGGTCACACAACACGAATCATATTATCCGTCCTCTTTGTGTATTGGAGGAAGGACTAGAGGCATGCACCAAAACCCCTAATTTCTAAGATGTTAAAGTATCCCGTATTCCCATCTATTTAAAGCATTAGAAGAGACCTGAAGTTTTAATGTGTGTGGTAATATATATATATATAACACGAGATGAATTAATAGGAAAACAACCTACAAATAAATATCTATATGAACTCGTGAAGGCCAAGAGACCTGAAGTTTGAATGTGTGTGGTAATATATATATATAACACGAGATGAATTTATAGGAAAACAACCTACAAATAAATATCTATATGAACTCGTGAAGGCCCTTTAGCCCAACCAAAGAGGTAGAGGAAGCCTTTTGGAGTCTAGATTTATTTAGTTTTTGGCAAAAAAAAAAAAGAAAAAAGAAAAAAGAATCAGACAGAAACCCAAAATAAAAAGGAGAAAGAACTAATTGTTGGTCTTTGGAGAACAAAGTGAATGCCCTCTATTAATGCATATTACCGCACCTGACAATTCAAGTATTCACAGTTGAATATCAAAAAGATCTTTTTGAATCAACTTGTTCGTTTTCATTGATAAGTCCATCACATCAACTCAGTCGGGGAATAAAGTTTATAATTTTGTCAACGAGCTCCAAAATCACAGATAGTAAGTCAAGTTCTAAATATGTGACATTATAACTATAACACTTCCTTGATGTTTTGCGAAATTTACAACCGTGCTAATTTTTTTCCCTGTTACTGCTTTAAACAACTCCCATCTATATTAAAGGCCTCACACTTTGAGTATTAATGCAATATTTTGAGTGTAAAAGTTGTGAGTTACGCGGTGCAGAAGGTGTTAGTTGATTAAGTTGTGATTAACCCTCTAAATGACCTAGATGATGTTATTAAGTTAACTTGCCCAATTTTTGTGATTAATTAATTTATGCACGAATATGATCAATTAAAAACTGACAACCACAAAGATAAATACTGAAACGTAAAACAAGTAAAGTTAGAGAGACGACTCCATGATTTCTAGCGAGGAAACCAATTAAAAAACCTCGGAGTTTTGTATGCTATCCCAAGCACAAATGATCCATTATGTATGAAGCAAAGTACATCGAACTTTAACTCAGACTCACACCCCTTCACTTTACCAAGACCCAATCCGCTGAACGCCCCTGCCTTTGCGACTTCCCATCCAACAATTCTCGACTTCAGACTTATAGCTCGAACCTCGTAGAAGGATTGTTGGTAGATCAACAACACTCCGCAAATGCCTTGATCCCTTCAAAGTGTTGTTAGAATTTTTGAATGAAAATTGTTTCATCAGTCATCAATAGATGTCTTTGACTGAACATGTGTGATCACTGGTTAGTTGTGGGATGAAAAGATGCAACTCAAAACCAACAAACATAAAATATTCAATGTGAACTATTGCAACCTATTGTAGTGGGTGTGTCTAGTGATGAATAAACACGTATAAATGGTTGTGTTCAGTGATGAAGAGACATATATAAATGGTTGTGTTCAGTGATGAAGAAACATATATAAATGGTTATGTCCAATGATGAAGAGAGACACCCAATCCGAAAAGGCACTTCTATTTCTATAAATACCCCATTGGGTTGCCATTTGTAGTTCGTACGTTGAATTCATTTTCTTCTCTCTCTCTCTCTAGACTTGATCCCAACCCAAGTGGGTTCAAACCATAGGTCAAGTGGTCCAAGCCACTTAGACCCTAATCTAATTTCATCGAGTCATATTAAGCTTGGTCTGAATCATTTGGTTTGGATTGTACCCAATTCATCATTTATATAGTAGAGCTGCATTTTTGAATCAGAGAGAGTATTACACGGAGGATGTTCGCCGTATCCACAAGTTTGTAGTGTTGTTACTGGTGGATGATGCAACTAAGCGTGTGCACAAAATAATGCACATCACTTTAGGTTTAGAAATAATGTCAAGTGGACATCATATTTTATAATTTATAAAACCACTAAACACTTATACTATAGAGTATGAAACGAGTAGGGATCATCCCAAGAGATCTAAACAATTATTGGTTTCCGGAATTGAATTCTACTTTAGTGCTTATGTGATTGCTTAAAAGGGTAATGTTTGTGATGAAAACTAATTTTAAACTAAATGACTGCAGTAAAGAAATAGAGTTTAAGAGATTGGAAAGAGACTTAGGGTGTCGGATCCACTATTAAGCACATTCCCTAACTCACTAACTTTCAACTAATTGGGAAAATAATACTATGTAATCTATATGTGGCTAACAATTGCAATGAAAAGTGTAAACCATCAATTTCAAGCATGAATCAACTACTTAATGACAATTAAACTAAGTGTAGTGCAATTCACCAATTCAAAGCATGATTCATCAATCCAAGTTACAAATTAATTTAACACACATTAATCTGGAGGATATGTAATTGTGACAATAAGTATGGATTTCAAACAATTGTATGGATTGTCTACTTACCTAATAATTAAATTGCAATTAACTAATTTACTTTAAATTAAGCTAACCAAACCTGAAATTAAACTATTTAAACTAAACATGAACCTAATTGTATAGCACAACCCATCCAATATAAGCAATTTTCATCAAATTAGAACACAATTACATCAAATTAATATAATACATAGCCATCACATGTTCAATTCATAAAGAAATCAAGTGTAAAGATCAATTATCATTCAAAAACATATAAGACAATATGAGGTTGAATAAGATAATAAATTGAAAGAATTATTATATATATGTCAAGGCTATAACAAAAACTACATAAATTAAATCCCCAAAATAGTAAAAGAGAGAAAAGTTAGGTTACATACTTAGGGTTTATCCAACCCTAAGTTGAAGAATTAGCCAACCATGGTTGATAGATGCAAGATGTCAACAAGTTCCATCCTTTGATTCATCTGGCTCCTCTTCTTCTTCTTTGAACTTTTCTCAAAAACCCTATCTTTCCTCCTTTTCGTCTTTTTCCAGAGAGAACGTGATATCGATTTTATAAAATAAAACTTAATAATAAAATCATAAAAACTCCCCCAAAATAATGGATATTGGTTTCCTTAAGTATAAACCTTATTGGAGACCAATAAGTGACAAAATAAGCCCAAAACAAGAAAATCCCGTAGCCAAATAAACATAAATCCCGCAATGCTGCTAGGGGCTGGGGGATTGATCCCCAAGGCTGGGGGATCGATCCCCCAGGGGCATTTTTAGTTCTGTGAATAGTGGGGGATCGATGTTGGAAACTTCCTTTAAGTCTTATTTAGCTACATATTGGCCCTGGGCTAATCTGTTTGCTCCTTGATCTTTGGGAACATCATCAAAGGGTCAAAAAAGGTAGAATTGACCACTTTTGATGGCTGCGGTCTCTTTTTGTCATTTTCTAAACTTTTTCCAACTATCTTTGCTAGACTCCAAAAAGGCTTTAGTGAACCGAAATTAGTCCGTTTGAACCTTATTGACCTGAAATTGACAAGAACATAAATTAGAAATAAATATGAAAGTAAGATAGATGCAATGACTAAAATACCCTAGCTTAGGTGCTGAAATGTGCAACATTTAAGTACTTATCATGCCCCCAAACTTAGATATTGCTAGTCCCTAGCAATGAACTACAGTATGAAAATGAAACAAACATATATACAACTATAAACTAAATTAGCAAATAAAGATAACACCACTTTCGTAAGGATCACAGTTGCATTTAGCATATGCAACAAGCCTTTTCAACCCCTAGGTTACCCCTAGTGGACGAGTGAAGTCTCGTGAGGGTTTCCAGAAATGGTACCCACAAACATTAATAGATCTTTCTTACTTAAGAAGCAACGACACATATCAAACAAGTGTTGAAAGTAGACTACTTCAAGTATGCAAATTTCTGCCATTTCTAAGCTATTCTCAACATTTCAATATCATATAAGCAAGAATGGTCCTCCACACATCAAACAATTAATCATGCAAATTGAATCAATTCTATCATTCTTTTTGAGTGAATCGGCATCAAAATTTGTTGCTTGGTGTGTCTCTCACAATCGTACGATATCGTGTAGGATATAACTCAAAGATGATGTCGAACCCATAGAGAGATGGAATTTGTGTTAGCCTTTAAATTAGTTTCATGGTTTACAGAAAACTTGGTTGGAGAGTTTGTTAGTTGTCACGATTTAACAAACTTGAATTAAACAAAATATTAACTTAAAGCAAATTTAACTGAATTGAATGATCAGAGAGAGAAAATCTTAGGGCTTTGATTTCACCATAATCGTTATACTATGGTCAATTGAATCAACTCTGGGACTTTAACCAATTCTGTTTTCAAATAAACTGAACTCAATAACATTCGTTCAGTTTAGAGTTTAAAAAAAGATGTTTTAGAAATTTAGCTAACTATAATCTATCTGCGGTTAGTGTAGACTATTCGCCTACCTACTCTACCTAGTTTAACTACTGTGCGAATGAACGACTTTTCCTAATCATAGATTATGAAAACGTTCTTTTGTAAAATACGTTGGAACACCATTATATAA